ACACACACACACACACACACACACACACACACACACACACACACACACACACACACACACACACACACACACACACAAACACACATGTCTTGGCACCTAAAGCCACTAAGCTTTTGTCTGATAGGAGTTTTGCCTTTTTTATGTCAGTCCTAATGCATCTATGCAGCTTTAACAGCAACCATAAACGTTAGAGATGTTGGTTGCTGCTTCCTGAAAATAAGACTTACTCTAAAGGGCCATTCATAAAACACAGCATAATAACTCAGCCATTTTTATCGATATTGACCTAAAGTTTAGTATGTAAGTAGCTGAGAGTCATACACAACACATACTCTGAACACTATTCTTTATACAGAAACTTTGCTGTTCTGTGTTGGTGTCAAAATTTTTTATCTGTTAGCAAAATATCTCATCAGCCAGAGTTTAATAAAATCCTCCCAATTCAAAATGTTTGTTACAACTAATCATCCATCCATCCATCCATCCATCCATCCATCCATCCATCCATCCATCCATCCATCCATCCATCCATCCATCCATCCATCCATCCATCCATCCACATGGATCCACAGGGACACAGAGACAAACACAAAACATAAATAATTATCCCTAGGGGCAATTTGAAGTTACCAATTAACCTAAAATGTAAGGTTTTGGTGTGTGGGAAGCATCTGGAGAAAACCCACACAGGCACAGAGAGAACATCCAGACTCCACACAGAGAAGCCAGAGGGCTAACCTGCGACCTTCTTGCTGCTAGATGACAACTCTAACCACTGTGCCGTCGACCTTAGCTAACTCAGAAATAACTTAAAATAACTCAGTCAGTTTTATAGATAATGAGCTGAAGTTCGGCGTGGGAGTAGCTCAGATTGATCACACCACATTTTCAGAGTCAAACACATCTCACCAAATTTTGTAATACTGTCTGAGTTCAGAACTAACATTATTTTAAAGCCTTAATACAGCAGCTGAAAGGCAGTTGGAAATATGCGGGTAATGCTTGTTTTGTAATTTGGTTCCAACTAGCTTTTTAAAGGAGACATTTCATGCTTTTAAATCCTTCTTTTTCGCATTAAAATTATTCAGTTGGAGTCTATATAAAGAGGAACTATAATCCTCTGGGCTGAATCCCTCCTTATTGTAGTTCCAAAAACCCCTTTTCTGAGGTGTGACTGAGAGCAACTCATTTTAATGCTGTCTCTTTAAATTCAAGAAAGGCATTTCAGAAAACTGAATGGGTTAAAAAAATATGACTCAAACAAAATAAAGATATCTATGCATCACTGGTAGAGACTAAATTCAAGTTTTCTGCATTCCTAACCATGGGCGGTTCTAGGGGCGGGGCCACAGGGGCATTGTCCCCAGCTGAAATCTGATTGGCCCCTGAAGTGCCCCTGTCCTGTCACTCATCTGTCCTTTACCTGGGAGTAATGATGGTGGATGCAGTTCCATGTTCAAACACTAGTGGTGCTAATGAGTCAAATAGTAAAGTCCAGAATGAATCAAGCTTCTCTTGAAATGAACAACCTATCTTTAAACTCTTTAAAAGCCAGCTATAAAAGGGAGATGGTATAAAGTAGTACCCTTTTAAAAAAAAGTTACATTACATTGCAAGTGTTTGAACATGTATGGCTGGTTAAATATATACACATTTTCAAAACTGGGGATTTGTATGAAAGGATGTTGAAATAAGACTTTGCCCCTCTATGGATATTGTGGCCCCTTGATGGCCCCTTACCCAGAAAAATCCTAGATCCGCCACTGTTCCTAACATCTCCAAGTACACAACAAAATGCATTTAACAGCTCTTAAAGTGTATTTTGCTTGATATGTTCCCTTTAAGGCATTATTACAGAAAAGGCTCAGTGGAAGTGCAGTGGAAGCGTGCATGAAAGTTACATAATGTCAAAAACAACAACAAAAACAAGCTCATCTATTCATACAATTTGAAATCAAACTAAACAAAAACTGAGCTTTCAAATTTGCGGAGCAAATTTTCAGAGTTCCTACATACAGTATCAAGCGACAAATGTTGCACCAAATACTCGAGCAATTGTCTTAATCAAAAGGATTTTGAATACTGTATGAAGACGACCAACGATGCGCACGTATTAACATGATTACGGTTATTACTTCAGCTTTCAGTCTGCTTTTGTTGCCAGTGTCTTTTCAACATCAAAGTGTTTTTTAGGGAAATGCTTTTCATCAAACAGCCTCAATGAGTGTCTCCTGTCTGCTCCGAATTAATAACCAAGCCCTGAATCACACCGATGGGTTAGGCTGAACAAAAACTCATCTCAAAAGCACCAATAACCGCACTGTTTCTCTTGGTGTTTTTAAGAAACCCGGAGTTTACTTCGAGTGCCATTAAGCACAAAAGTCTGACACCAAATATTGTGATAGAGACAGAGTTCTCTCAGGAAAGAAGCAGCCTACTCATCATCAAGTCAGCACATCTCTTTTCTTTTTTCTAAGACTGAAGAAAAGATAATTCCCCAATGAGAACGCCTTGCTGCTGTGTGCGCTGACACGCTGCAAGAGAATCCACACTATGTTTGATCATATCTTTGGCGCCAGTACAGTATGCTGCAAACAGGGAGGAGAGGAAACCAGGTCATGCTCAAAGCCCTTCAGAGGTTTCTTCTTTTCCACACGCTCGTCTCACTCCATAAAAACTCTCACTTCCTTATTCCCTTTTTGTGTTGTGTTGCATTATTACTGAGCCTTTTCTTCAGCGCAGTGCCTGTTGCAGTTGAAAATGTGAAAAAAAAAACCCTCCAAAAAACAATCATCTGTAGTCACGCTAACATTTAGAGTATGTCCTTTTTACCCCTCTCTCCGTTTGCCCTCTCAACCCCAGCCTTTTGTTTTTCTTTTATCTTTCCCTTTTCCCTCTCAGCTCTTCCTCCTCCTCCTCTCCTGCCTTTGGATTTCCCCCACTTTCTTCTTCTCATTAGTCCTTCCTCCCTCTCTCCTCCTCCTCTTCGTTTCCAGTCGTTAGAGGCTGCTGCACATTAATGTGAACTCACTCAAAAACATTTCACTCCCTCATCCTCCTGTAAATAATTAATATGCTGACCTTTTGCCATGACGATCACATTAAATTATAGCTCTGGGGAAACATAAACATAACAGAAAGCCACTGTTTCTGTAATATTTTTTTTGCTCAAACGGCACACGCTCTCACTTCTGTTATTTCTTCTCGTTAAGTTCTGGTGAATAACTGATGAGATCCTGGTAGAGTTGTAGAAATGTTGGAACAATGTTGCGTTCAAGACAAAGACAAAAGAGACCCCCCCCCAAATACACTGTTGATGAACAGTGTGTCTGTTTTAATGAATCACACAGCCATCATTTAGTTTTGATTGGGTGCACGGCTGCATGAGTTCCTGCTCAGGGACCTCGAAGTGACTCGGAGAAAATGGAGTCCTGCCCCGCTAATAAGAAATGTGCTGCGTGCAGAGGGACGGCAGCATTTGTCCTCTGCAGCCATTAATGTCAAATCTGCTGGAGAAATTACGGCATTTATTAACAGTGAGAGACACAAAGTGCCTGTGTGTGTGCGTGTGTGTTTGTGTGGGTTACACTTAACTACGTGTCGATGGCCGCGCATTAGCATTCCTCGGTTTACCTCCATTAAATCACAGCTTGAGCCCAAATGAAAGAGGTCAACGGTGACATGACGGACAAATTCTCGCAGACAGGTCTGGGTTCACACAAGGACACCGAGCTGCGATCGCCCACCCTTCGAGGTTGTCACAAAACTGAATCATGTGAACCGTGGCACTTTTCACTGGAGAGGCTTGTGGAAGGTCACATAAAACTTCCACCTTAAGGTTGAAGTGAAACTGTGGCGTCTTGCAACACTAATTCATTTTAACAATCTTAGTTCACACAATGAGATTAACTGGAAGGCAGAGCTAAAGTTAGTATATGCATCTGTCACAGGTTATTTAAGGCAAGAATCTAGATGTTTTTATTGTAAAGGTCAGATAATGGACCCGGCATGAATCAGTTTTAACAGTTAAGAGACAGAGGCTAACATCAAAGTTAATTCTGTTAAAAAAACAGCATATCTACTCTTTGATATGGTTTCAGTCTAAGTGTGATTTCAATTTAGAGTTTATGTTTTGAGTCAGATTGTCTGAACGATACAAAGCCCGTCCAGTGACATTAAAAACAAATAATTAAATTAATGCATTACTCACATGTGGTGGTGTAGGGCGAGGAGAGGTGGAGAACTTAATTCTGATGGCAGAGCAGAGGATGTGGTTGGGAGGTGGTCATTTAACCTTTATTTTATCAGTGTGCATTGCATTGGCAATGCACACTGATAAAATAGTGTGCATTGCCAAAGCAATGCACACTATTGTGTTTCGTTTCCCATCCAAGTTATCTCCACTTTGGCACGCTTCTCCTCCTGCATACGTTGTCCTAGAGCAGCCATTCTAATTTATATCTGTAAAGCTCCTGTGCCAAATGATGACTATGCCTTTTGGTGCCTGTACAACTTATAGTTTTTGAAATATTAATGTTTAATAATTTATAATGGGAGTCAATAGAGCCTTGTATTGGTCCAATACTTCTCCCTGCTGTATCTACTCAGTACTGAACCATAGTTTAATAATATTTGATCTCAATAGTTCAGTGGTTAGAATAATAATATGATTGTATTTTGATGTTTTACTATAATGTTGTCTTAATACTGCTCTATTGTTGTAATATCATGCAGTTTAGCGTCAATAATTGTATTGGCAATGTGGCCTATTTCTGCACACATACAAACCAACCCCTGGCACCACCCTTGGCCACACCTCCAATGGTCTAATCCTCAATGCCATGGACTTTCATGTGGGAGAACAGGGTTCAAAACCCAGCTAAAGCAACTTTAACAGAAAATCTCTACAAACTTCATATTGTCACACAATTACCCTTACACACCTGCTGACTTGACAAGCACAAGCTGGTGTAGAAAACACATTTGTACTTGGTCACAGTTCATTCTGCAAGTCCATTGCTGCAGGCAAAGCCATGCTGCAATGATGTGCTACATGGCAATGCACACTTGTTTTTACATCGTAAAAACCCATGTCTAGTTGTTTTTGTTTTCTTTTTACAGGCTCTGAGACACAAAACAAATTTGAAGCTGAGTTTTTGAAAAAAAGTCTGTGAGATTTCTCTATATGTCCATATACCTGGAAAATGGGGGGAAAATCCATGTAATTTACAGAGAATCCGTACAGCTCGACATGTATGGCTAATGCATGGCCATGAGATAATTTTAAACAGCCATGTCTGTGAGAGATACAGACATTGTTGAAGTCAGATTATACAAACACTTTGTTTTTATTGTTACGACTGCCGTAGAATTTTGTTTTGAGTGTGTGTGTTGGGATAATTGCAAATAAGTTTCCAGGTGCCGACCATGATTGGAAGACTGAGACCAGGAGCTGAACGAGGACTGGCTACCTGTTGATGAGGAATCTGCATAAAGATTAGCTGAGAGGTGATGACATCGAGAGCTTCCCCGTCCTCTGCGCCATCCAACTTGCGACACGTCAGCCTTTAGAGTTGTTTCTTTATACTTAAACAAAAAGTAGTTTTGTGAGGAGTTTTGTAGGGGTGAGCTGACATTTATTTTGAATATATTTTTGTCCTGTTTTTAGGTAATTAGTAAGGTAAGAGCCTGTATTTCATTTTTATTTAATTTTAATTAGGTAAGAGATAAAAACTTAGTTAGATTCGTTTGGCCTTTGGCTCACCCTTAGGTGAAGACACTCCAGTTTTGTATATACACAAACACTGTAAATAAAAAACACACTTTTCTTCTCTTTATCAAACAGTTTCCCAGTGGCTCTTTTTTCCGTTTTTTTTATTTGTTGAATGGTGCAGATGTTGGGAATTGTTCTACCTTTTGTTACGTCCTGGTAGCTCCTAGACGGGACGTCACATTATGTTTAACTGTATAACGGTGCCTCACACTTTTTATTTTTATTATTATCATCTTTCATAGTATTTATGGTGACAATGAATGCTTTAGGTCAGGGGTGACTTTAATTTTAGTTTGTGCACTTGGAGATGACTGCAACAATTAGCTTGTGGCCACACATTTATTATCTTGTGGCGATGCATTAATTTTTTTATTCAATATGACCAGATGGGCTTTGTAGAAAAATAACAACAAAATAAGCAAATGAACCTTAATATTTAAATTAAACCTTCTGCACTGATTAATAAATCAAACATCTGATGGTGTTATTTATTTATTTTTATTTTTTCATTTTTTCATTTTAGTTTGTTGCATTTATTTCCAGTTGCACTGAATAAATTTAAACTCTATCAAAGCTTTAAAGCTGTCACGGTCAAAGATGACCACTGAGATTCTTTTTGCGAAAATGAAAAATAAATTGACATGAACATTTGCTGCTAACCTCCACCTGCTGACAGATCTGGATGAGCTTGGCCATCTGGTTCTCCAGCTCACTGTTCCTCTTCACCAGGTTGGTCAGGTTGTTCTCCAGAGTTTGCTGTTTGAAGGGAGGAGGAGGAGGAGGAGGAGGAGGAGGAGGAATAACAGAGAGGGAAGAAGAGGGAAATCAGGCATAAGAAGACAACATTTTTAGACAAGTTTTTGTAAAAAAACACAAACATCATTACCATCATTTTTTTGTTTATATACAAGTATTTTCCATTAAATACATAAATTGTCATACTAATTTACTTTATACATTATTAACATACGTATATATCACCATGTCTGTATTTAATGAATACTGGAATTTTTAAAATCCTATTTAGTCCCCAAAAGTTACCACTATAGAGCATGTGTTTTAGTCCTGTAATATTTTCTCTTGTACAGTTCTACTACTGCTACTTATAAGTCATTAAATAAAAAAACACATTTAAAGGCAGCAGTTTAAAGAAAAAATATATATCACCACTTTATATGCATCTTTATACAACCAGCTGTAAAACAGCATTAATAAAGTTTATGTGCCTACATGAATGACCAGTTTTAAGATGCAGCATCTGTGATCCCAATGGTAATAAAGCACTATTTCCCTGCTTTGCTCTCTGATTTTGCCATTTTTAAGCTCCCTGCTTGATCACGATGTAGGTGTTTTTTCATAGTACATGAAATCTATGCAAACCTTTTACACTTAGGTGTTGCTTGGTAGGACATCAATAAAACAAGTAAAGTAAACTGATTCAAATGTTATAGAGATCATTTGGAATAGATAGCTCAAAGAATGGATTAAAAAGGATCATCTGTAGCATTGGTTATTACATAGTCCAATAAAAGGACCCCTATTTGTTTATTTTTGCTGATTGTTTACACCTAAGTACAGACCCCATCCAGTGACATTCGATAAAAAAATTCCCTGTGGCCATGGGATTAATAATGTGTGGCCACAAGATAGTTGTTGCAGTCATTTCCATGCAGATACAGTTTATTATTTACAGGTTTGAATTAATCTCATTTTATTTTAATATAGGAATGAATAACTGGGAATTAGGTAATTCTTATCAATATATGCTACAGCTAAAAGACACAGGTGATGACCGGAGGTGTATTTGTCCAAAAAGCTTTGTTTAATTTTTTTTGAAGCTGCAAAACTGCACTTTAAAAACTCACTTCTTGTTGTCATTATTATATTGTTCCCTTCTGATGTTATTATCATTAGTTTAGTCTCATTTTTATCTAATCATCATTGTTCGTGTCCTTTCAATGATGATTTGTTTTTTTTTTAATATGGTTATCTCTTGGCATTCAAAAATGGATGATAAAGTACGAATTTCATTGCTCAGGGAAATATGTTTTTCATCTGTGCATACAGCGGGTAAAATAAGTATTGAACATGTCAACATTTTTCTCAGTAAATATATTACTAGAGGTGCTAATGACATGAAATTTTCACCAGATGTCGGTAACAACCCAAACGATCCATATATACAAAGAAATTAAACCACAATTGTCCAGAAATGAAGTCAGGGACGTGCACAGATGGACGTCAGGTGGTGCTTGAGCACCTGCCCTTTCCCTCCAGACCATCTGCCCCTGTCGAACCCATCTTTTTTTTTTTGTTATGCTCCATCTGTCGCCCTTGGTTGCACTTCTTATTAAGTGTATACATCTATAATGGCAACAGTATTAATTTTAATAATAATATTGCCCTCACACCCTCCCTTCACCACACACACGTGCGCGCCCGCAGAGCTCACTCCTGTATGGCAAGCCGTTGGGGTCATAAATCGGGCGTATATTTAGGTGCAAATCCTAACGCGCGGTCCCGTAAAT